TTATCGGCGAACATCCAGGGAGATGTAGCTCCTTCGAGGTTTTAGATGAACCTTATTGATTAGTGCTAGTCAACACAAAACCTCGATCCAGGAGCTAGTTCTTGCTGACTCCCTTCAAACGCAAAAAACTATTGTCAACAATTAAACTTGAGTTACGTATTGATGTAATCAAAAGTTTTACTACTCAGTTATTTTTCTAGTGACTGAGAAACTAGCAGACTCACTGATGAGCAGTAAGAAGTCAGTACTAGACAAGTAGCCTTCAGTGTTTGCTGACCAGAGTCTGTCAATCGAGCTAGGAACATTTCATTGTGTGTATATATTTATCCTAGCGAGTGTAGTTAGACAAATAAAAGAGAACTAGGACAATGGGAGGTGGAAAAAAATAGCGAGATATATACTTTATTTTCAGAAGTTGGTTTTCAATAGTTCTCTAAATGATATGCTTTGTTCGACACCCAGGGGTCATTATAACAGCAGTATGAATCATTTAAAAAGTTAGAGTATTCGAAGACGATGAAAACATAAAAATTCTGGAGATTTATTTGATTAACTCATCATAGATGAATCAGGTTCTTCTATTTTTATCCGTTAGTTCGATCACTAAATTAAGGATTCAAGTATCTGATTAACAAGGAAATTTATTTAGATGTCGTTATGCGGAATGTAGTCATAGTAATGAAGTCATATTCAAATGATAATTATTTAGGTACATTTTAATTTCTGATCCTATTTTTTACGATACGTCATTGAGCTACTTACAAATATTAAAGTAGTCAAAGTAATAATATTTAATTAGTGTATGATGACTAGCAGTGGAATCCAGGATGCGCATTTCGTCCAATTTGGTACTCGTCATCTGGATGTACCTGCATTTCTCAGCGAGTGTTGATGTTCCCACTGAGGCTCGAACCCAGTGCCCATAGTTTCAAACGCCAAAGCGTTATCCACTAGGCCATTTGGGCAACGGGTCATATTAATTATTTAATTGAATTTTTGATTTCCCCGTCGAAGCATCTGCACAAGAAGCCGACATACCAACCTGAGACCAAGCACTTCGGTCCAATCAATCGACGGGAAAATCAAAAATTCAATTAAATAACAGTCAGGGTAATAAGCTTAAATAGGGGTGTGATAATAATAATCGCACTGAAGTTCTTAGAATGAATCGTATAGAATCCAATGTTTATCGAAACAGCTTGTAAAATATATAGAAAAGATGATGGCTTATATTGCACTGCAGTCCTGGTGATTAACAACTGATTTCGATATAATGACCTATGCGTCGGTGGCACAGTGGTTAAGACTTTCGCCGACCATGCACATGGTCCGGGGTTCGAGCCCACGCCGACGCATACCTGATATGTATGGTTGGCCTGTGAAATTAGGGCTACCGATATCCACACTGAAAACTCTGTACTTGTACCAAAAATACGGTGTGGAATCAAGCTGTAATCAAAAATAAAAAAATAATAAAACTGTAAGTAGATAGTCTTCTGTGAAACAAATATCACTTAATAATATTTATTCTGTTTTTCTAACCTCACTTGTTGGCTTATATAGCCGATAAATTTAATACTACTCCCATTGCAGTGGCATTAAGAAACATCACTTGGAATCTAACTGATGACAAAAAACTGGAAATCCCAATACATATACCACATCATTTAAAAGCAACAATGATGACATCGGATAGTGGAGATCACCATCTACATCTAGATGTGATATCATGTTTGTTGGTTAATTTTGGAATATAACTCAACAGGCAGAATTTGAACGAAATGACGTTTCAGTTTGCCATTTTAATAAACACACTTTATAGAATGGTAGTTCTGAAAACATAAGGTGTGTTGCCAACAGTTCTCTCCTGACCCATTTTCCTAGAGTAGGTGAGATTTCACTTGTCCAAAGTCATATAATAATTGCTGAATGATATCCACTGGGACTAATTCATACTACGTTTCGCTATTCCTAAGGTACTCATATAACTCAGCGAACCAAAAAGATATTTGTCTGAAAGTGAGTATTGGTAGTACTGAGTTCTAGAGTAATCTATGTACCTGAGAAATTACACAGTGAGAGCATTATTTACTGGATTTAAGCAAATTATTGTATTTACTCAGCCTACTGAAATAATTTGAAAGTAGCTGAGTTAATTATTAAAAATAAAGTGTGTCATCTGCTTCAGCATTTATACAAAAAACGGTGGATTGGCATTTCTCTAAGTTACATTAACAAACCTGTTTTAAATCTATTGAATTCGAACTAAATCTATATGCAAGATATGCTGCAGCATACTACTTCACCGGGAAGTTTCCATGCACACTGTATGAAGAGCACTTCTAAAATTACTGCTATGATATATATATATATATACGACATTATTTAAGCCGATTCTCACTAATCACCTTGGTCTTTTCACTAATTCAGTATACAGAATACCTAAGAAAATGTTCTGTGCACCTTGAAATTCAAGCAGGGATAATCCTTTAAGATAAATGTAGCATGTTTAGAGAAGCCAGATTCTTTTCGGAATGTTTCGCTGTGTGGGTAGGAGCTTCTATAGCAGAATCACTCGGATTTCGATAAACATCAATAAATATAGTCAAATGTAATCGAATATTTGTTTAACTATTGACGCCTCACAATTTTCATATATTCCTAAGAATTATTTAACTGAATAAACTTAAATAATCTAGATATTAGGTAAATGGTGTATACCTTTCAAATACTTTCATCTCAAAATATGGGAAAAAATGAAGGTGTTTTGATGTCTAGTACCAGCAGATTTTTCGGAGGAAAAGATAGGCCTGAATTTATTAAATCTTAAATAATATAAGACAGTCAGGTTCAGCAAAGCAAGACTATTTGTGCAAGAGACCTTAATGTATAAATGATGTGTTTTATGAAGCTTTTGAAACCAAGAAATGGAACGTTCACAAAAGATCTTGCTTTCTCTTTTCCACCGTCGTGTTCACTGAATTCGATAGTTTAAATGCAACGAAGTTATTGTTCCAGAAAAAAATGTCTTCAGCCTCGACTTTACAGTAAAGTGACTTTTTCGAATTGTTGACATAGGAAATAGCTATTTGACTGGTATTGATTATCTTTAGAGGTTTCTCATCCTTGTGTTCAACTGTATTTATATTGATCGTATCGTCAACATTATAGTTGATCTAGTGACAGTATGACAGTGCTATTGGCTGATAAGTGAAGTCGAACTGTATTCACATTTTTGTTAATTACAGGCCAGTGTGGTTCCGGTGCTATCGGGAATTGTCTGGCATTCCTCATTTTTCCTCTGTTTAGGAATCTCAGTACTTAAGGAGAAATATCAGAAGTGTTTCTTATATATGAGTAGATAATTTTATTTGTAGTTCAGAAGGATGTTTTGGGACCAGTCAGTTGATAATGGCTGAGGTATTTCTCTTTTCCTCACTTCAGGAGTGGTGTGTTGCAGTGTGTCTTTGCTTACTTGAATAATGTTTGTATGTAGATTTTGTGCTTTAAGACTGTTTCTGTCATGTTTCATTATGTGATCGTTGCCATCTGGCGTTCTGCATAATTTAGTTCATAATTCTCCTTTACTTGTCTCGTTGATCAACACACATGAGAATGGAATTTTCTTGTCTAATTCTTCTCCCATTATGGGCAAGTCGGCGGCATGCACTAGCATGAAAGCATATTGTTGATCAGTTTGTGAGCACACTTCCAATCACTTCTAATTATGACGCAATGTTTGTACAGGTAACGTAACGCACAGATAAAAGTGAATACAAAGCTAAAACTCCTCTGGAGACAATAAATGCCACTGTCATTTCATTATGAAGTTGTTGCTAAAGATTTCGCTTGTAAGAAAAATGAAATCTTAGGGATTTTTCTATTCAGCAAAGAGATATGGACTACAGACTTTATCCATTATTCCTTGCTTTCTTTTATAGAATGTAACTAACGACAAGAATCATATTATTGAATTATATACTGAGTACAAACGCGAAATTTAGGGAAGCATTTGAAGTGAATATGGGAGTTACTCAGGGCTTCCTACTGTCATCAATGATATTCCTGATTGTGGTCCATATGATCATGCGAAATATCGTAGAGCATGAGATGGCATGAATACGATGGACCTATAAGAAGACTTTAAAAATACTTGAACTTTTCTGATGATTTATATCTGACCTCGCACAAACTTGAGATCTACTGATGAAAACCAACAATTTGGCAATCTGAAGTAGCGAAGACAGGACTTCAAGCGGAAGTAGAGAAGACAGAAGTTATGAAGGTAACCAACCAACAACAACAACAAGCATCAATGACGTCAACTGGAGAGATTTCAAGGAAGTCATCTGTTTTACTTCACTTATCTAGCCAGCATAGTTTCAGATCCAGGATGAGGATGTCAAAGGTAGTACCAAAAAAGCAGACCTTAATTAATCTGAAATCAGTGTGGAAATATGCTGCAATCAGGATAAAAGAAAATATTTGAACTTCTAACACCGATATCAAGTCATTTTTTTTCTATGTTGTTCAGAGATTTGGCGTACCAGGAAAAGCATTTCGGACAGATATTCATCATCAGTTGCCTTCGCTCCATGATGAAGATTATACGGCAAGAAAGGACGAGCAGCAGAAAACGCTGGCAGTTAGTAAGGCAGCCAAGAACCTATCCCCAAGGGATATGTCCAGGGAAATGCAGACGTACTGAATATACTCTGAAGTGACATCTGAGTGACATCAAGTGCGAGTAGAAACTGAAAGGTAAACGATGAAACGGGCACTCAAGAGTGATATGGGGGAGTGGATGAGAAATTATTGGAAATTGTGCAACTAGGGAAAGGTGATTGTAGAGAACAGGGTTAAATAGAGACGTTCTAATGAACTCCTATGTCTCAGTCGGAACCTAATAATAATGACGAGTATAACAATAAAATAATCACATGATAAATAAAAATTCATTTATATGCAAAAATAATTATGCAGTAAATAAATTAACTTACTTAGACGGACTTCACGTTTATTACGAGTAAAATGTTGCTGAATATCATTCTGTGTTTTAAAATTAAACGGTTGACCTGGCAAACTGAGGTTAAACTGACTCGTATATAACTGTACAAAGATATTCATTTCAACAAACACCGTTAAGTGAAGTATCATAAATGCATTCACTAATGATTTTATCATGATGCCAAAAGAGCAGATGCGATAAGGCCATAACATATTTTATTGGTTATTACTGAGTGATCATTCATAGGCTGAGAAAACTTTCACTGAAATTTTGAAAATAAAGAAAAAAAACACGAATAAGGCATGCAACAAAATTGTTAAACAAGTTTTAAGGAAAAACAAGTACATTTCCTTAAGCTTGACTTTGAACAAGATATCAGAAAACTGATCTCGCCTATAGATAAGAACAAGTCTATGACAATTTTACCTCCACTTAAACGTAGAATCTCAGTACGTAAACACAATGCTTTTGAATTTCTAGCAGCTCAGTACTACTTTTGAAAATCAATGGCTTTAAGTAAATCAAGTTGAATAACTCCATTAAACACTAACCCTTCACACCCACCCACAATCTAAACTTATGTTCTACAACAAATAATAAGATAATCGTTTCAAACTTGAATACTCACATAGATGTACTTCCATTTCCGCTTCATTCGAATATCATTGTATGATTATATTATTAGTAGCCAGAGTAGCTCTTCACTTTCAAATATATAGTGTTCAGAATGTAAATTAAAAAACACTCAGTGACTGAGTCTCATTCTCAGGCTGATGTATCGTTTCAAAAAATAAACCATTGCTGGAAAGCATTTCCCAGCAGATGTGGGCGATGAATAATGGTAATATGCCCACTACTGTCAGAAGTGTATTGATATCCCATGAGTCACTAGTTAGTAAAATAGATCCACCCTACATTTTAACCGCTCACACATACATATCATTTTTAGGAGATTTGCATAAATTTTCTGTGGTGTAGGCTTGTTTAGTACCTTAGACATGGCTGATAGAAAAATGTCAGATTACTTCAACACTGATGTAGTTTTGCAGCACTGGTTTGTGCACTTGATGAAAGCCAGGTCACTCGCTGATCATTTCTATTTCTATGGGCAGGTAACTGACTATGTTAACTGTATGGATTATGCCTGACTTAAGCGATAACACAGACTCTCGCCGACCATACACATAGTCCTGGCTTCTATACCCTGCCGACAAACACCCGATATCAATGGTCGGCTTGCAAAATTTGGGCTACCGATATCAAATGCTGAAAATTCCATATCAGTACCAAACGTGTGGAATCAAGCTATAATCAAATTAATTAAAAATTAGGCTTTTTGATGATGATATTGCATTTGACATCAGTGACAGTGGCAGTTCTCGTTTTTCGAACATGATTCCAGTTACTCAGTATTTTCTCTATGCATCCCCTTATGAAATAATGTCGTTTATTCGCGAAAGAATGTTGATAAGGCGCCTTAGAAAAGTACTCATTTGTCTTCACTTTTGATTCTATTAAAAGTAATAATCAAGTCAAGGGGCAGAGAACACGGTTCAGGAAAAAATTTTTCGACGAAGTCACTTTGTTAAATTCATTGCAATAAACACTCAAAACAAGTGAACTTGTTGGTTGGGAACTTGTCAGTCGAATTCAGTCAAGCAAGCACATCGACATTTTCTTTATATCTACCGGCGACCTAATTCGGCGTATTTGGTTTCAATGAATGATCACTAAAGCAGACACAATTTCGGATACGAGATATTTTTATTTTCATATTATGAAACTTTTAGTACATCTTATTTATTCCTTTACGTTTCGAATAGAATTCAGGGCTTCAGCCAAGAGCTTTGAACTTTCAGTAGCAGTGGTTTTATTTTACGGGACTGGGTTGCTAGCCTCATGCCCAACTTTCCCTCTTCACCAGTCTTATTACTGGTTTAGTGAGGTAGAGGAGTGCGTCGGCTGATGCGGGGGGGCGAAACCTGAAACACGTGCGTGATTAGCGCGTATCCTAACTCTGTGCCACCGACGCACAATGGTGAATTAATGTTTGTAGTGCAGCAAGCTGAAAAGACTTGAAAAAGTGAGTATTTTGTGTTTTGCTGAATACACCTTGTATCACTAACTCATAAGGTGGTTTACAATTGTGAGAAACCTCATTTTTGCTAATTCGTGTATTCTTCTTTCCTGTATAAAGACACCATTTCAGCGATTTTCAAAGATTCGTGAAACATGAAGCTCACATTAATACTCGTATAGAGGATCCAGTTTAACTTAGATGTTCATACGGTATTGAAAGTGAACAACTGAGAATTGTTTAATAAGGACACTGTTATTGGAGGTAAATTTTTAATTTTATGTAATCTTATTTAAAATAAGACTTTTACTAAAGACCGTTTTAAATGCGTTTCACTGACTATGAAGAATTTAAACAACCGTGAAATTATTGATACCGTTCATACAAACAAGATATTCTGTTTAAATACCGAGTCATTTTATTGAATGTGGTAGATATATGATTAAAAAATAACATTCTATGCTTACAATATCGGTAAAACCAGCTCATATGATTCGTGTTATTAGTCTAATGTGTTCGTCGGTTTCCTACAAATATGCTTTTTTAAATATGAGCTGTTTACAAATTCAATTCCTCCCAGCATGCATTCATCTGGGAATTAGATTTCACTCAAAAGTTAGTCAATTTAAAAATGAAGCATAACGTTCTACGTAGTCAAGGCAACCGACAGAAATAATAAAGTTATACAACCTGCACACCGATATGTGTATGGGATAGATTGAGAAAAAAGAGGGAAAGCAAGTGAGTTTTCTAAAATTATTGTAAATGAAACTAGTGTGGAGGAAAAAAGCTGAAAGGAAAGGATCATGAAGTTGTCTAAGTGGAACCACAACAAATCAAATGGTTGTTTCCAGATTCCCAACGTAAAAATAGCAATAATGATCTCCTTAATTACTTGTTTCTTTTGATAAATAGAGTGATTTTCACAAAAGCAGGGAGTTATTCAAGTGAGTATACTGAAAACCCGAAATTCTTTTGGCGTGTCATAAACTGCTTTTATAAACTAATACACATTGAGCAATCAGTGTGATGTGGCCAATTGTCTTTGAACTTCAATATAAAATATGCATGGAACTTTGTTTTATGTAAGAACAATAAGAAGTATCAACAAAGTTAATGGTGTGAATAAAAGTAGCGTTTCATTCGTAGACGTCAGCACTCTCTGTCTAAAATATATATTGTCCAAACAGTTGGAAGAGGCTTTTCTCTTTGGTCAGATTGACAATTATTTCAAAGCTAAATATGATGGCTATGCATTTCTCCTGAAATGAGGTTTCTCATTATTAAACTTATCAGCTGCGTTTCGCTCACAGTGCTATTCCTCACCACTTTTTGGCAGTTACAGCTGAAGCCAGACAAAGAGTACCATACGCTTCTCATCATGGCTGATGATGAAGGATAGTAGGCATGAGCACTGTACAGCTTTGATTGCCTCTTTTAGTCTATTTAGTTTATTTCGAATTCTGTGCATGCAGTTTACTTAAGAAACTCTGAACGTAAGACACAGAATGGTGTAAAAGGGTATCAATTAAACTTTTTTGACTACTCAACCCAACCATTTTATATCAAACCAATTAAAAATTTCATTGAAGCAATCTTGATAGTGATAATTTTAGCCAGTATATATTGTTACCCAACGTCTTACTGCAGTGTACAATTTTAAAGAACACAAAGTTTAGATTTCTTGGGGTAGAAAATGTTGAGCGTAGTTCTGTTAATTAAGATCAGAGAGGTTGCCACGTACCTTGGTATTCTGAAACATGTTCACACTTCATATTCCCTGAAGATCCTCTGTCCCTGCGTTCTAATTAGTTCAGTACTTAGCCGATAAAAAGCTGAGACGTAAGAAGTTGTTTTCTACTACATTATATACAAATCGTACCTTAGGTAGCGTAATTCATTAGTTATTCAGCATCACTGAAATAAAGGTAACCTGTCATGAATACCAATGAGTTCCAAGGGAATAAGGCACTCATCCGTGCTTTACTCGTGTTTTACTTTCAGTTTTACACTGATTTCAGTCCCTGATTAGTAATTAAATAGTGAACATTTTCCGCTAACTAACTATCGACTATCTAATTGATTACTGTGAAAATTATACGAGATTTCTGACGTTAAAATAGATATGTGGAACTGTCTGATACCATCTATTTCATTCTTCTTTAAACCATGAGCAATATGTACAAAAAACATAACATAGAATTATTTTTTTTTTAATGGAAGTTAGATTGTTTAAACGAGATAATGCATTCATTATTCAGATATCCCATTAGGAATTGAAAACTATTATGTGTGTGTATTATTTTATAGAAGTACTAAAATGTTTTGCATAACATGCATATATACACACCAGTGTGCCTTTCAAATTCCCCTTATTCTTCTTCACTCTACATAATAATAATAATAAAGATTAGCTATTCCGTAAATGCGAGAAAAAGTTGGCCACAATTTGAACTCATGGATACGCGTAACCATTATTTCAACTAATGAATTGTTTAAAAGCATGAAAGAGGTTGTTGCTTCAACAGAAACATTATTCACTCTTATAATATAACATTCATTTTATTGACACTCAATTAGCCTAAACAGACAAGCAGTAAGTGGGAAATGTGGAGTGAAATAATAACCCATACCTCAAGTACGGATTCGAACTTCAAAGTTAACTAGTACTTTATATACTATTTCATGTCTATGTATTTATAAGTCAGCAAAGTAAACAAAACGATTTTCACTCTTGAAACTAATTAAAGATGGTAAACGAGGCAGGATTCTGCAGCGAACTTGTAAAATGCAGAGCTTTATTTCCACTACACGACTTATGGAAATTTGATCTCAGCAAACAAAGACAAACACAAAATTCGTCCATTTTGACGTTATATCGCGTCTGATATTGGACAAATAATGATGTCGCTTTTTTCCTTGTTTCCTTCGGTTACTAACAGATAATATGGCAAACTCATAGCCTAATCAATAGTTATGTTTACATAAACACTTAGGGCGTATAAATCTGGTATTAAAATTTGTAGGTAAATAAACAGGAAGCACTGACTGTTTCATTTCAATATCAAATCAAGGTGTACGATGGTGTTATGTCGTTTACCACAACAGCCATTTTTTATTCCTTGACGTTCCCAGTGGAACATAGAGCTTCAACCTGGATGCTTGGAGTTACTGTAGCAGTGCTT